AAAGATAGAGCGAAAGACGCTCTATCTATTCGTAAAAAAAGAAATTTATTTTTAGCTATTTATAAGAAAAAAAAGAACCTGGCCCACTACTTTTGGATAACCCTAAGTACTATCCTAATAAAGAATCATGTTCTCAGGCATTACTCGGTCGAAACCAAGAGAAAATGATTGTAGTTTGTAGTCCTTGATGAGATCTACAAAACTGTATATTAGTATAGTTAACATGCACCTTTTATTGAGTCAAAATATACGGACGATTGAAAAAGTCATGTTTAGCAAAGTCATAGATTCGAGGAAAATGACAATGTGAGCCTCCTGGTATTCCATAAATACATCATAAAGTGTTGATATTTTGGATTTTAATATGTCATCATACAAGGTTCTTTTTGAAATCTTGAAAGCAAAATTGAAGTCGAAATTGAATAATTTTTCCATGAGCAACATGACCAGTTCGTTATCACAAAATATAGATTTTAGGATGCTGACCCACCTTGTTGCGACCCTGAGCAAAACTTACGCTCAAATTTTTTTCCAGACATTTATATAAGGATCGATGCAGTGTTTCATGAGCTTTCTGAAAATAGAATCAACTTTGTGGGGTCTTCCTACTCTAGTACCTGTTGGGTCGAAATACTTGGAAAAATCACCCATGATGCTGGTCAAATTTACCTAATGGAAACCTTTTAGGAGGGTGGAAATGAGTGATAAAATAATCTTTTATAAGCAGTTCTGTAAAGAATTTTTTCCTCTATCGTTTGAAACAAACCGCATCTTAAACGAATGTACTGTTGCTGAGAAAAGTCAAAAATACTGAGATCATTAAATTTCAGCAAAAAATAGGGTCTTGGTGAGAGACCTTATCAATGTTTCAGCTCTAGCTCCTTACAAACTCAATCGGAGAGTCTTATATTTTTATTATGAACTTTTCAGACTATGGTCTATCAAATGGCAAAAGAAACTCGAAATTTAAAAATTTCGAGAGGAGTAGCAGGATGATGGTCTCGCGGACCCTCTCTTAAATATAAACAAATTACCGACAAGTAGCTCGCCGTTATTCAATGTTGCGTTTGTTATAAAGGGAGTGACACAATAAAAGACCCGGGTCATCTATTCTGTCTTCAGGAATAAAGTTTTTAGGAGGGTCTTGCATTGTGTCCATAAAGAAAGCTATTCATGTTACGAGTTTCATCACACGTGTAGAGTAGCCATTTCTCTCTGCTCTATGTATTGTACATTTATGCGCATTTTGGTGGAAAAAACTTTTATTTGAATAGAAAATATGTTTTTAAAGATTTTACAAGATTTAGAAGTAAAAAAGTGAAAATAGAAGAAGGTCTTTTATTTTAAATGTTGTTAGATGAGTTCAAGGGGGGCTTTCCATTTAGGAGGTCTTTTATTGTGTGGGTGGGGGGGGGGGGGGAGGGAAGAAGGGAAGAGTCTTTTGATGTGTCCATCCAGTTATTCGAAACAACCATTGACACACTTATATATTTTTATCCAGGTTAAATATATAATACCATGATCTTTCAAAATAGTGACCGACTTCTGGGTTGTTGGCGTTTAACTGCTTTTGTAAATCAATATAAAATTGTTTTTCTCTTGATAAAATGTAACGTTTTCGAAGGCTAAAAATTGCATTCCAGAATATTTTAACACAATTAACATCAGCATCTGAATTAATATATTTCTTAAACCATGTGATGCAATCATATTCACATCTCGCTAACGTTTTACCTTTCCATGATTCCATACGACCATCTGTTAGACCTTCTCCTAAATAATCATCTTTCGTGTTTTTTGAACACTTGTCAATATTAATAAACATATCTTTAATTTCTTCTTTTCTCGCAACAAAATCATCAAAATGATCCAGATTACATTGTGTAAAAAAGCAGATCTCGGGCAGATTATCATAATTATCAATAACAAATTGAAGATAAGTATGAGATTCTCTACCAATATTCGGTAATGAAATTACTTCATAATCCTTGTCGACCAATATAGGTCCTTTATTATAAACGACTACATTCGCCTTGCCAAACCATTCGTGTACCCAATCCACCGATTCATTATATCTTGCAACAATAACTTTGTAGTCAGTTTTTTCTTCACATTGAGACATTACCGTGAATAATTATAATTCGTAATCTAAAATGTTAACTAGAAATTAAAATATTTCCACCAGTAATCTATGCTTAGTTAATAAGGGCTTAAACTAATAATGCCTAGGAGCCGAGTGTTTACATACTCCGAACTGGCGTGAAAACCCAAGAAGGATACATCTAATTGGTCTTATTTTAATATATCAAGTCAATAGAATATGAAGTCATTCATAATGTATTCAAAAGGCTATAATCAATAAACATAATACATTTTCTACCTCTTATGTGATGAAGAAAGAAAAGCTCCATTTTAAATGCTTGGACAGCTTAGTCCAATTATTTACATTCACTCATCATACCTTACGAGCGTAGATATAATGCATTGAGAAAAATACAGGGTGTCTGGAAAGTAGCTGTCTATTTTAAATTCTTTTTTTCTCTTTAATAAGAATAGATATTGTGTTACTTTTGTTTATTATTTTGAAGCATGCTTCATGGGGTTATGTTTTTCATAAGAAAGAATGTTAATGAATTGACTATGT